GTTCTGATGCTAACAAAATCAAATACAGCTCACGGTGATGTAATTTAAATAAGAGCAGTCAAATTCAAAATCAAAATGTGGACTAATGGTCAAAGATTATACAATTTAATTTAAATTTAATCTGGCTCAGTAACTCTATCATTTGAGGAAATAGACATGGGAAATTATAGTAAAAACTGAAATCATAAACAGTTGGGTAATTTACATAATAATAACTGCACATATCTTTGAAGAATAATTTTCCTTATGTATTCAGTTTCTTTCTTCAACACATTTCCTTTTTATTTTAGAATTTTGGGATTTAATTAAGGATTTCTCTTATTCTAAAAAACAGTAAATGCATTTAGAATATATAGAAAAAGTGGCTAATTTTATTTAGTAATATGAATATTCATAAAAAAATATGAAATATATATGGTAAAGACCGGTTACAGAGCTGGTGTGGCAGAATGTTTAGAATTTAGTGACATACAGAACAACAAAATCTAGAAATGGCAAAACTCTTAGAATTTAGAGCAGACATTGGAAGCAGAATTTAAAAAGGCACTAGGCAGCAGAATTTAGGATCCACAGAAATTGCTTTTTATATATATAGAAAGACAGTGTCTTATTATATCTTTATTACATTTGATAATAAGTTTGAGATTTAAATTACAATAATTATGTTAAAAGTAAATTTGATACCACAGTAATATTTTTGCATTTAAAAATGATAATTTATTATTCAATTTTTAAAATTTTGTTACATCAATAAGTAATACTAAATTTAAAAGTAGAAAAAGAATTCTATTTGTGGAAAATCCCTAGTGCCCGCTCTGTGTATGATGCATTGACATATTAGATGAATCTTTTAAATTGTAAGTTTTCAATTCCTTTATTAATAAAAAAATCATTTTCTATAATGCCTGCCTAAATGATAAGATTAGAAGCATTTTTGATATTTCCCATGCTTATTATGTCTAGTGAAAAGTAGAGAAAATAAAGGGAAGATAAACAGGTTAAGAAATTGATTCTAGTATCAGGAGTAAAATATTGAAATATTATGTTTTCATTGTTCTTTCCAGACGTTCTCCAAAAAGTAAGAAATTCATCGCAAACTTTTCTGTAAAATACATCCATTACATGTTGATACCATGAAGATATTTTTCATTTTGTCACATATTTTCTCGGAATCTTCTAGAATCGTGGGTCTATAAATCTTGCCTTCAAATATTCTAAACTTTTCAAGCTGCAATGTCTAAAATACCTAAAAAAGAAAAAATTATCCCCTACCAATATTCTGTAACAGCATAAAAGTCCAGAAATATTTTGAAAAAAAAAAAAAAAAAAAAAAAAAAAAAAAGAGGAAGGAAAAAAGTGTAAAATTAATTTTATAGAGAAAACTGATGCATTTTTTGAGAATTTTGAATATTCTGAGACAATTACATAGAAAAACGCTTACTACGAAAAAATTAAAAAGAAGACATTTTTAATTAATTACATAGCTAATTTTGCTTTTGCTAAAAGCTGTTTCGTAAATTAGGCTTTATAGCATTATGCCTTGTGTATTTTTCAGATTCAAATATTGTATAATAAGTTGCCAAAATGAAACTTTATAATATGACAGCAAAAAATAAAAATGTTTTATTTTAATGTTATTTTTAAATATAATTTCAATATGTTATTATTATTTTAATGAGATTTATCAATGTTACAATGTTTTAAAAAAAAGATCGTCTACAAATTTTCAGATCTCAGAATTAAAAATTTTCTATAGAAACTGATCTTAAAATCGCCAAAATGTTGACAAGTCGCCAGATTTAGAACCATTTAATAAAAGAATTCACATCCCCAAAAGCAAAAACTTGTTTAAGAGCTCTTTATTAAGAAAAATTAATTTCCAAATGCTTATGTTTCACTTCTTGCTTAGAAACTCGAGTATCCCATCATTTATATTAGAAATAGAAACAAATTATAACCCATGAAAGCCATTTAAAAGATAACCATATATGTCAGTGAATCGCCAAAAAATATTCCTCCAAAATGCTAATTCACACTTAAAATGGCAGTCATAAAAACAGACAGAAATTTCAGATGATTAAAATTAAGGACTTTTAAGGACCAAAAATCGATTCCAAAAAAATTTAAGGACTTTTAAGGACCGTACGAACCCTGTTTGAGATGTATGCCAAGCAGATACGCAGCAATGGAGCCAAATTACTGATCATACAAATTTATGCTAAAATGATTGCTTCTTCAATAACAAGGTATTTTATTTAGTGTCGAAGTGAAAATAAGAATCGGGACTCTCCAAATGTTTTATTATGTGTGGAGGGGGAAATCAAATGTGCATGAGCAAAGCCTAGAAGAAAACATTGGTGGCGGTTTTGAGGTCTGGATTTTAGATCATTCCAGATTTCAGACTTTGTACTGTACCTGCCAACTTCATAAGTAAAAATTCAGATGATTTTTGAAAAAGAAATTAAATGATTAAAATAAATTTAACAGGGAAAACTGATTTGAATATTTTGAGAGAATTATCAACATATATATCTGACTATTTTGAGAGAATTACACAAGAAAAATTACTTATCATTAAACATTAGAATAAAAAAAATTAATTTTAGAATAATTTTAATACCTTTTTTAGCCCTGCTAAACATAATTTTAATATATTGTTGTTTTAACAACACTGTAATAACATTACTGTACTTATTAAGAAATCTACATGATACTCACAAAAACCTGAATCAAAATTTCTGTATGGCAAGTTTCTGTCAAAATCCTCCTAATGCTGATAAGTTGCCAGTCTAAGCAATGCACACAACAGAATTCAGATTGCAAAAAAGGAAAAACGTTGTTTTGTGCGTAACAAAGAAACAAATTTAGATGACAATCTGCATGTCTGCCAAGATTATACAAATCTACTGACAAATCGGCAAACTGATACAATTTTTAGCACCTTAAAATAATAATAATAATAATAATAAAATCTGAAGGATTTCAGATTTTACATTACACCCAAAGGGGAATTTTTTTAACATTCTGTGTGTTGCCTTTAGTTATTAAATATCATGTTCTTCGCACTTAAACCATAAAATTTAGTTCAACAGCAATATTGCAAATTAATTTTAAAATAATCAGCATATCTTTAGAATAAATAGCAGTTCTTAAGCAGTTCCCATAAAAATTATGGAAAACTGGCAGATACCCATTAATTGGGGGTTTTTCTTTTTTTAAAATTGAAACTTTAGTCCAATAAAAAAATTGCTCCAACATCCAACCGCCATCATTAACTATTTTCTTATTTTATTTCTTTGACAGGTCTTCAAAGGAATGCTTTAGATAGTTTCCGTTATTCTTTGTAGCACAGGTGCAGGGCAAGTGAATCTTCTGTACAAATATGTGGTCCCAGATTTAAATTGTTCTAATACTGGTAGATTTTTTTCAGGACATCCTCCTCCTTTTTAGCAGGTCAAAGAACTTTCCACTGGTAAAAGTGATTAGAAGCATGATCTTTACAGAGGCTGTCTGCACATTTTTTAGACGATTTTGCTTTGCTATTAAAAAAATTGTCTGTTTAGAAACTTTCTTTTAACTGCAACTAAACTTTTGAAAGTATAAATTAATGTCTGTTGCTTGACAGTTTTGTCTTCATGAAAAATGGCACTTTTAAAGAAGCAATGATAGAAAGCTATGTTTGTGCTCTTTCCAAAGAAAATTATATGTATCTACTTATTAAAAAATGCTGTGAAAGCCATATTTTTTTTTTTTTTTTTTTTTTATGTCTAAAGATACGATGGGTATAAATGTGAAAGGGGAAAAAAAAATGTCAAAAATTGGCGTCAAGTGGAAAAGTTGTTCCAAATACACATCCAAGGAAAAATAGACTGTTTAAAATGTAGGAAAGGTTAGATTCCAGTTACTACTACAATTATTGTTATGTTCAATAACCAGCATTATTTTCTTTTGGCACTGAATTGCTGGATTCTTCCGAGTTTCGGGACTTGTGAGCTGCAGTTCCCATCTTATAAATGTTGCATAAACATAGGATACATGCAGCTAAAATATTACTTCCAAACCAAACAATCTATGGTAAGAGAGAGAATACCAGGTTCTCATTAGTAATGAAATGGAGATATCAATATTTAGTGCTTAGAATAAAGACCATAATGCACTTGAAAAATGTGTTAATATATACCTGGTGCTCAAAATCTGTTTTCAGCATCAATATCCAATATAAAGTTATCAGTTGCTAAATCAAGGTTATTATTTTGGATACACTATACAAAGAGTAAATTCAAATAAATGTGAATCAAAAACAATTTCCTCCCATTCCAAAACTTAAAACACTCTTTTATAGCAATCCCATGGCAGAAATAAATTCAAATGATAATGTTTTAAAATCATTAATCTTTAGTGAAAAATTAAGTGGTCTATTTAAAAAAGAACAAGGGCAGGAGGGGGAATATTTCACAGCAAAAAGCAAGATTATACTAAGATATTATGATAGCATTTCTACAGATAGTGCTTCTGCTTCTCAGCACATCTTATATAATGCAATTATTTGAAGCCAGCATGTGAACTATATGAAATAAGGATATATAAAGATATTAAAATGAAATATAAACTACTTATATATAAAAAATATGGAATTCTTCTGTTGACAAACACATTCAGTTTAAGTGGCACATAAGGTGGCTATGTTGTACTTAAAATTAATGCTAAAATGGAAAAAAGCTATTACAAACATCAGACTTTTCTAATTTTGAACAGATCTTAAAATGCATATTATATATAATTCTGTAATAAACTGTTTATATTCAGCTAACATTTACATATTCTTTTTCTGGTAAAAAAGTGAATGTACTTTATTACAAATGTGATTAATTCATTCTACATTACAGTTATCTAATTCAATTTTTGAAAAGGGCATCCTTTTAAAAATATTTAGCTTGCAATCTGTTGATGCATTTCCTTTTTAACATTTGTGATCTGAAGACTAAACATTAAAACAGAAGTTTTAGTAAAATATGACATTTTAATAAAATAATTCAAAAAATTGGATCTTATTTTTATATACACATGATAATTATTTTCCTTAGCTACCTGGAATAGGTAGGTGGCTCAATATGTGTTACTCTCCTACTTTGCAGGAGATTTTGTTCAAAGTCTTCTAATAACTTTACTAAGTATTTTCTTTTAAACCTATATGCCTCATTTATGACTTCCCGTACCATAAAAATTTGAACATCAAGATTATTGTCCACTGCCTCCAACTGCTTAAAAAGCTGACAAAAATCTGGAAGAAAAGGGAAGTTTGAATATTAAAAAGAAGAAATGTAAATTTAAGATATCCAAAAAATTTTTACAATATACACAGAAAAGATAACTGACAAAGGTATACAACCAGTTATTGTTACCACAATTTAATGCTTTAATTGTCTGCTCTGTTTTCTTCATTTCCTTATAAAGGGAACGATTTTGTATTTTCATTTCTAACTGGGTAACTGGCAAAAATTCAACTTGCATTTGTCATGCCTTGAAGGCACATGCATTTACACTTAGGTATACACATTATATTTTAAAAATACTACATTAATATGTCCCTGTTAAAACAAAAATTGGACTTTTGAAATAACAAGCAGAATTTGATCCTGTAACTAAATTATCATAGGAAAGTTTTATTAACCCTCCTAGGGTTACGGGTTTAGCCCTGAAATTTCTAAATTTCTAAAAATGTCATGAATAAGTGGAATTTTCTTGATTTTAATTAAAAAATGACTGTCTCATTTTGTATCTTTATTCCTTTTCTTCCAATATACATCCAAACCGAAATCAGATACATTAAAAACTAGCAGAAATTTTTATGTATAATGAATACAGAAGGCAGCCTTCTATGCGGAATTTTTCGGCCATAAAGCTGAGAGGGTTAAAAAATGCACTCAAAAATTTTAGTTCTGCTATGTTAATGTAATTTGATTTACATTTGTAAATATATCATTTTTAACCAAATTTTCTTACTTTCTTTTTGCATAATCTGAAATTTAGATTTAATTCAAGTAAAATTAACATATTTTTTAATAAACTTTTAAAATTATAATCGCTAAAAAATTGTTCATCATATCACAGCAAATACATTTCAGGCATATTAAAAAATTTGAGTTTTTTTTATACATAAATTTTAGAATTATATATATATGTAAAATATAAAAAATACGATGCCTTTGCTCTATACAAACAGGCAACCTCTAGTTAACTTTCAGCAATTTCAGGATCTTCCCCCTAGACCAGTACTTTCGAGAAAATTCTGGCATTTTACTTAATCAGTACTATAAATGAAGAGTTTGTGCCATTTTTCATCAGATTGCTTTTCTCCCCCTGCTGCTCTTCCCATCTGTCTTTATTTCTTCAAATAGTATGATGCAGTAAATTTAAAGTTAATTCTAAGTCTAAATTACTATCACATATGTAATCTTGAAGAATCTAAAAGAATAATGATTTGCCATTTGAACTGAATAAAGATGTGGAATCAAAACAGCTAACTTCTTCTGTGTCATCATGCCAAGCTTCATGTGAGTGCCCAACTGCCAAAATATTACATATATATATTGTTCATGAGCTTAAAGCAGTACTAATACCAAAGCTGGCAACAGTTCTGTTTTTACTAATGATTATTTTTGGTTTCAATGAAATTTAATAGATTAACTTATACAAGTATAAAAGCTAATGTCAAATTAAGAATTTTTGCAACATTAGAAACATATTAAAATTTTTAAGGATGTTGCAAAGTTTCTATTTTTTGTGTGAATTATCATCATCATTAATAATAAATCTCATACTAATTCAATTTAGCACCTTACAATCATTTGCATCCACACAGGAAGTTAGTCACTCATTGAAGACATGGTAAATTGACAAAAATCATTTGTTTGGCTATCTTTACAGCTCATGGGTAAAGGAGCATTTTATAATTTTACGAGAGAAAAAAACAGTTTAGTTAACATTTACATTTTTACAGCCAATGGATACTGTTTAGCGAAATGAATGTTGAGCAAATGTGTAAATCCCCATGCACTCAAGCAGGTATATGTTAAGCATTATGCAAGGGATATTTATCATTGCATGTATACGTGAAAATACTACAACACAAAATAGGTAATTCTACCAAAAGTTGAATATGAGAGGGCAAATTAACAGAAAGCATTAAAATTTTGAAGCAATACACATATTCCATTTCTAAATACTTCTCTGAACTTTGTTCAAATGATAATACACAATTTCATTATCTTAATATTGTTTTAATAATGTAATATTGTTTTGTTCACACAATTTTGAGCTCAGAAAAGTAAATACAAACAAATATCAGAGCTTTTAAAATTAAAATACATTTTAATTCGAGTTCCGATTTTATTCACAAACATTTAGTTTTATAACGTGATAAATATTACTTCGCATTAAGAAAAAAACTGAAGTATTTATATATTTTTTATAATTTTTACTGAAATTTCTCAGAAGTATTGGCAACTTTAGGAGGAAGATTTAGGAGGTGACATATACATATATTCCCTATTGATTTTTGCTACCAGAAAGCACTTGCATCACTCCATTACTTAAAGTACAATTAGTAAATGTTACTGTTTGTAAAATTATACTCTAAATATCTTTGAACAACTTTAAATATCTTGTTTTCACAGCTACTCTGTAAACTCCAAATGTCTCTGGATATCTTTAAGTATGTCATCTTCACAAACAGTCTGTAATGCTATTCCCACCAAATGACTCTGGCTGATTTAAAATAAAGGGAAAAGAAACAGTTTCATACAGTCCAATTTCTTCACTGTACGGAACATTTCTGGTAAACCCTTAGTAATTTTGTTTTTAAAAAATGCTTTTTAGTTACAAAAAAATTCGGCCCACATACAATTCAAATTCAAGAACACTACTCTAAATCATGCTTTTCAGACATGAAAAATATAAGTTGAATTTTATTGAGCGACCAAGTAGGGACTGTCTTTTTGTACATATAAATCTGACATTGTTACTGATACACTGAACAAATAACAGTCATTTTTTATTCTGTATGTAGTTGAGACTAAAAGTTTACATTACTTATGGTTTGATACCTTTATCAGTAAAAAAAGCATATTTTAATAGGTTTAACTTTCTGTTCTTAATATATGATATAATTAATGTTCAACAATATATTTTATTAAGACACTAAAACATCTGCAGATTTTTTATATAAATAAAAAAACAAACTTTTTAAGATTATCAGGCAGGGTGGAGCAGAAATAATTAGAATAACAACTTGAACACTTTAATTGAAAATTAAATTACTATGTAAAGAATTGTAAAAAACATAAAAAAATCACTTTTTGAAAATCATATTGTTCAGATGAGCTCCACTGGAGCACTGGTGATGGTACAGACGGGGAAAATGCTGCAGTACGGGGGGCCATTTTAGCAAGTAAAAAATACTTTTATAGGCAACTATGTCAACCATAATAGTGTGGAAAAGTTACACTTTTTATCATGAATTCAAGCTTATTAAATTTTAATATTTATATTTAGCTTATAAAATATAATGCATTAAGACAAAATAAATTATGCCCGCTTAATATACTTGGTATGTTTTCATTTTTTATTTCATAATTTGTAAATACAAAATTCAAGGGTCATTTCTGTGTTGAAGTCCTTTCTTCCTGTGCAGATTCCATTTACAGCTTCGTTCTAGCATCGAGATATGTTCTATAGATGAATGAGGTCACTGCCTTCCACTCCCTTCACCTCTCTGGCTGTCACACATGCACAAACATGTCTATCCCTTTCAACATTGCATTTGCAATTTGAAGTTCTTGAAATTGGATGTATTTTGGGTGTTAATACACATATACTGCTCAGTTTATAGTTTTCAGAGTGTATGGTTTGTTAGTATGTTTGTTTGTGTTTTGCGAATGAAATGTGACATTTAGATCAACTCATCAAGATAGAGAACACTATTAGTTATAATGGAAAAGAAGCAAGAGTACATAAGCAGTTTCCAGAAAAGAAAATTAAAACAACAATCTGAATCCACCAAACAGCTTAAAAAATATACATATTAAAAAAAAAAAAAAAAAAAAAAAAAAAAAGATGGATTTCAGTTTGAATCGGGATACTGTTCAAGTTAATGAATTAATTATTGAATATAATGTACCTAATTAATGAAAGTTCTTGTAATAAATCCCATGAAGGGAGTGATAGAACCTCTCTGAATGAAAATCTTGATAATAAGTTAATTCACCCAAGTTCTAATAATGATGTTACTTCCAGAATCAACACTGAACATAGACACAGATAATTTTTATGTAAAACTTTTATGTAAAGAAACAAAACAATTAATTTCAGCATTTAAGCCTTGCCAACCAATGAGGCCTTTTCAAAAAAGATAAGAATATCAGATTTCTCAATTCATCCTATTATTCGCCCACCAGCGGCCAAGCCGTAAAGTCACTGAACACTGGTAGTTCGGTCCGAATCCCACAAACGGGCTGGCTGCATGGGTGTTTTCATGGTTTTCCCTATGTGTAACGTGTATATGAGCCAATTCCCTTAGAAAGTCCTCCAAGAAGGCATCCCTTCCCTTAGGCAGATAGCCCTAGTGTTCTTTGCCATAATCACACACACATACTATTATTCATTTCAAAAAATAGTGGGATGAAACATAGGCAGGTTTTGGTTATGTTATATGCCAAAACCAAATGGCATTTACTGAATTATGAACCATGGTGGCTTTTTAGTAAAGCCACGAAGCTCAAAATTGGCATGAAAGCACTCATGTTTCGAAAGGCCTCAGTGAAAAGATAAAAAAGCATAGAACTAGTAAATGCCCATCTTCATACTTGTCTGATTTAGGCTATTCAGAAAAAATATCAAACACTTGCAAAGAGAAGTTCTGATGAGCAGAGAAAGTGGAAAGACATATTTACAATAATTATTGACATTGTCCAAACAATGGTTACATGTGCTTTGCCTTTCCAAGATCACAAGGAAACATTAATAAAAATCAGGCCTCAATCTGGAAATTTCTTGAAAAAAATAGGCATCTTAGCATGTTATGATTCTCTTCTAAAAGCTCATATCACAACCACAAAATCCCTAAGTATTTCCATTATGAAATTAAAAATGAAATTATTAATTTATTAGGCACGCCTGTGGTAGATTCTTTACTTGTGAAAATTCATTCAGCTCCTTTTTATCTCCATAATAGTTGAATCCATTCATCTTAAAATAAAAGGATAAAAAAAGCACTGATATGTA